TTTTTGCAATAACTTTTTTGTTTATTAACCGATTTTAATTTAACCAGTCTCATTTTGTAGATAATTTTACTCCCTACAAGCTGTCTGAGAGTCACTTTACGCTAAAATTGATGGTTTTCCCTGCAAAGTGAAAAAACTGTTTTCCGCACTTATTTGTTTAAATAGAAGTCAGCTAATAAAATTTTTTGACTCACGAGATGAGAGATGTCTTGTATTATGTTCCTTTAGACAATTTTACAATAATCTCGCGGATAGGACTTTTTTCGAGTAAAAATTTGTCCAGGTCCTACTGAACTGAAAATTCGTTGAGTAAAGGGTGCTAGAAAATGAACGAGGATAAAAATAAAGATATATCCCGCTATGAAAATAAGAAGTATGATAGATGCACTACATATTTAAATGCCAACCGACCACTTCAAGGTCACTGGCATTTACGAACATCAACCCGACCTCCTACGACTCTAAGGATATGTTTACTATTCAGACGTTACCAAAGATAAAATTCCATTTAACACCTATATCCAACCTACCTGAGCTGCAGCCTCCAGGCACTCGGCGTCTCGGCACACCGGAAACTGGTACCTGTGGGGTATCCTGGGCCACGCGGCCGCTAGGGCGATCACCACTATAAAAAGCAAAGCCGCCAAGATCACAATCCCACCCACGATATAGAGCCCCTTGTGGGACAGGCCGGATTTCTCGCATGCCCTGTCTCTGTACCGATGAAAAAAGTCCGATTTCCGGCCGTCCTTGGTATCCTCCATGCAGGGGTCGAGCTCTGACGCTTCCAGATTTTTCGTTTCCGTCCCGTTCGTTCCCTGTATCTTATCGTCTAAGGACATTTTTTAGTCACTTGTCGCGCATCACACAACACTTAGTAAACTGGCTTCGCACTATTCTGCGTTTACAACCGTAGCCCTATGTTCGTCGAACAGGTGGTTAGGTTTTTACAACGGGGAATTTTCACTACTCTTTCGAATGCCTCCCGAAGCTCCTGGAAAGAAAATAACTGTTAAAATTTTAACTTGGCAATACTTTTACATAAAAATGCAGCTAAACCAGCTAAGCACCCCGATATCTAATCTGGTAAATACCCAACAGCCTTAAGTTAACTTGTTTGTGTTTGTTGACTAATGTTTCATAAATCTTTTATTAGAGAGAACTTTAAGGCGAATACAAGTTATAGCAGATTATGGTACAGCTCCGGTTTATATGTATACACTCGTGTCGACATAGCCCGCACTGTTTGGATTTCGTGTCAACATTTTTTTTATGAATTGCTGCCTTGTGACTGTGAAATATTACGAAGATATATTTGCCCCTCAAAAGTTATTTTTCTTGTTTTGTAAGTGTGGAAATCTAACAATTAATAAGTTCTGAATACGAAATACACCACATCGATTTATTTTATAGTTCAAAATCCAATGAAATGCATTTTTCTGGAACTTGATGATTTTTTCAACGCACCACTGTTGTGGTGTCACTTTCAGCAGTGTTTTATTTACCTCGGTCACACCTAATTGACCAATCAGCATTCGGAATAACTGAGGCTGAAACTCCGGTAAATAAAACACAGCTTGAACTGCCTGGCCTGCTCACCTCGAAACTGATTGTGAGTTTATCCTCAATATGTATCAGATGACACGAAAGATAATATGTATTATGTATTTCTAACAAGACATGACTATAGAAGGTTCACAATGTTCTCAAATACAAATAAGCTTACCGATTTAAAAAATCAAGGTTACTCTGATGTGATTATTAGAATATTCGTATGAATAGTTTATCGTTACTGACAACTAAATAAGCAAGCTACTTTGTTTATTATATATAAAATATCAAGTATTTTATGCAAACATCTAATTAACCTTTCAAAGCTTGCAAGTTCCAAAAATTTGGTTAAATGTCACGTTGGAAAATTTCCTTTGACATCTATTAATATAACGAATTTTAATTCATAGAATAATTTCTTGTTTATCGAATGTAGATTCTTTCAAACATTCATAAAAAATATTTCTCATAATTTCCTCTACATAGGTACGAAAAGTACATGACTTCAACATTCAATAATATGTATTTAATATTCTGCCAGTGCCGTCATTTATTACAATCATGATGGCTACTGCCAAAACTTGAAATTTAAATTACTAAACAAATGAACTTCCTAAATAGCACGATTAATTATTCTATCCTTATCCACATTGTAGTCACGAATTTGATGTCTATCAAAAATTGAGTTACATGTGACATTAGAAAATGTGTAACTGTTAGAAACTTCCTATTGGTCTTCATCGACATGACACTTCTAAAACAACTAATTAAATAATTACTATCTAGTTACAGAAAATTTTGTTGCAGTTTCACTACTTGACAGTCAACAATGCTCGCGACACCAGGTAACTGTGATTAGTATGGGTACAATGCATGACGGCTGCATATCATTAAGTAATGATATTACATTGCATCGGCCTCATTCTACTGCACATACAAATTATATTTAATTCTAATTATATATTTTACGCTTCTTTAACCATTCATAATTGTTTTATGTGATGCCACATTTATTACTTGTTAAAAAGGGAAAATTTTACAAATTTTGAAAATTGCAGTTTCAAACTGATAATTGGTAGAGTAACCGTATACGAGATCTGTTCAGAAAATAGCTGAACTTTATTTTTTTAAATTTTAGAGACTACTAAATAATTCACGTTGTAATTTACGTATGATTCAATGAGTTGAGTGGTGTATTTCTCTAGATGGACAGTTCAGTATAAAATGTCAACTGTAGCTACTTTATAGCCACAATCACAAGACATACGGGTAAATTCTCCTAATAGAAGGATTAAGATAAGCTGAGGGCTAAGCATTGTCTAGTATTTTAACTTAAATTTATCTATATATTATTAAACCCTATTAAAAAACAGTTTTAATTTAATTTGTAGCTTTTATATTAGTTTAGTTTAGATCTATATCAATTTATTCTACTATTGTGTTTGTAAGTATTGTCATTTATATGCATTCTTTGTACTAAAACCGCCAAAAGATTTCAATAAGTATTGTGTAATATTAAAATTTATTTGTATTAGAATTTATTACTTGCAATTATTTTCAAACATAAAGACTATAAAAGTTTGTCGCCCTGGTTTTTGGTATTCAAAGGAAATTACATTAATTTTGCACGATATTACCTCACACTTTTATTATAATTAATTTACAGCTATTTTTACACCGAATAATAAATTCGTCACTGTATGCTTAAAACAGCATTTTTATCCCCGTTCTATCACTTTATTTTTACACAATTTTCTGCTAAATGAAGTGTGTTAGAAAATAGAACTATAAAAAGCGACAATGTAAATTTAATTTGGAGAACATCCATTTTAAAACAAGTCTTATTTAAATGAAATAATGCAACTAATTAAAGTAATCAATTATGCGACAATTATTATTGCAGTTATATTTTAGGTAGTATTTTTGAGAGATGACCAGTTAAATGACAAACTTTATGGTAGACAATAAGTTCTCAAACTGTTTATGGGCCTATGGCCCTGGTAAAACAGACCTTTATGTTTGACCCGAGGTGGGTATTGTCCACGACTGTACATTTAATGATAGCTATATACACTAAAATATTTTCCAGTATCAAATACCTATTTATATAAATGTCTGTGAGGTAATTTTGAAGCTAATTGCCAATAGATGTCTGACTCGTGGTTTTACCAGAAAGAGATAATGAAAAATCCATATTCAAATGATTTAAGCCTAACCATTAGTAATATTTCCGATAAAAACCTAGTTAATTTTTTAATTGAAATATGAGAACCAGATCGTAAACTAGCACGTACTTCAATTCAAAGAATGCAGAAACAGACAGTAAATAGATTATCATGAAAAAAAAAACACTAAGAAAACAGTGAATATTTTGATTTTTTAATTTCTCTGATAGATTCAAAATAAAACTATAATAATTATTTATTAAAAATATTTCGCTTAATAATTTTGTTGTAGGATGACAAGACAAACATTAATTACACTTTTAGTGGCACTGATAAAACAAAAATTCCGCTGATAAATTAATTTCTTTGAAATAATTTGTTTTTTCTGTTATATGTATAACAAACTACATTTGGTGGTTCTTCCTTTTATTCTAATCTCAAACTTGCGTTGAATTATACAAATATAATACAGATTCATCTTTATTTGATACCCTGCTTGAAAACTACGGACATAATTTTCCTTTCAACTTTTATCTAAAAAAATTAAGACACACAATTGATTTCAAGGCGTCGCAAACTAAAAAGCTTTACACATAATCGATTTATTATTAATTTTATTACCATGACGTATGTCACTTGGATTATTTTATCGAATACATTTTTACCGAATTTGATTCACGGGTTTTTCTGACTTTCTTATAAATCCAGTGGTCCCGCTACACAAAAAGTGAGACAGTTAGTTTATTGCCAGTCGAATAACGAGTTTTTAATAATTAATGATTTAGTTCGGAAAATAAATTCTAACTAACCACACAAACTAGTTATATAATTTAGATCTAGTTACACATACCAATCATTAAATCATCATAAATCTATCAAATGTTTCAATTTTAACCTTGATTTTAAATTTTGAACGACAAAATGTCAAATACTCAAACGTAAAAGTGAAGAAAACTAAGATCAGGTCTCATGTAATGAAGTAACTCCATTTAACAACCGTGTTTATTTTAAGTGACAAATTTGTACGCATTTTTGAGGTCAAATCGAGTGTCAAACCTTTTTATATTTTATTGCTTAATTTACATTACCTAAGTTAGCAATAACAAATTACCGTGAAATCGATCTAATCGAACTAATAACGATTTTCATCGTACAACCTTGACCACAAACTTCAAGGAAAAATACTTGAGAAAAATATCTATAGTTTTAGATTTTAATGAAAATGTTACAGATTTATCTCATGTTGATTATACATGTTCAATTCTGAAAAAGATATGTGAAGAAAATGTAAATTTTCACAAGGAAAAACATTAATTTTAATTTATCCTCAGGTTAGACATTTGAAGACATCTAGGTTGGGAATAAATTAAATTCGAGGACTAAACGTGGTGATAAAAACTCTAAAATGTCAGCAATATACGATTTCATAAATTATTGGTATCTTTTAAGTATACCCATGTGACCCATTTTTCCAAAAGCGGGCAGACGACTCCGTTAACTAGAAAATAAAACAACCATAACATTGTGAAATTCCAACAACTTGCATTTTTAGTTACATTGACACTATAAGCATACTATGGAGATAACAAACTAAAACCTTAGTTAACTGTGAGATATTTAGAACAAATACACTTAGGTGTTTCAAAAAATATCCGCCACATCAGAAGCCATAAGTTGAGCTACCTATTTGAAATAAAACAAAAAGTGGTTCAAAATAATCGTTAAAATATCAATACCAAAAGTCATTCTACTTATTTCTTACATATTGAATAAGTAAAAAAGGTGGACAGGTAGGTATTTTTACTCCATCTCTTTGTCCACCATTAGAAGTGAAAATTAGGTACAAAACGAAAAGCAAACATACCTTCGCACACGTAAAAGCTTCCTTCTCAATAAATTTCTTGTGTCTAACACTGGGAAGAAGAAATTAAAACTGAGGAAAGGACACATAGCGGTTCTTTATCTTACCAGTCAGCATATTATTATGTTTATCACGTTCACCCACTATTTCAGTCATTATTATCAGTTTTCTGCATACATACAGATATTTTCATTCAACATTCGTGGTTGCATAATGAAAACAATAAAAATTTTGACTAGATCTAGTTCGCCGAGACCATTGTTTAACACGACATAATTTTCACATGAATATACTTATACAAAAAAAACTGCACCATCGCCAGCATTGTTTTCATAGTCGGCAATTTGTACCTGCATTTGTACGTGGGGCAAACAAAAGAAATTACTAAATCTGTGGTGACCACAAATTTAAATAATTCGTTTGTATCCAACAGTATTGTAAGGGTAATGGTAATATGCTGGTCTGTGGACACTTGGACAGTATTAAGCATATGTTGTGCCTATAGCTGCAACAGGACACCTTCATTGTGTTCCTCAACGGTACCTACATCAAAGAACCAAATACCTATCCGTGCATCAGACACCTTTCGACCGACATGACCGGTGACCGGTAGCTGCCACATTTTAATGGAAAACACCTGTTGAATCGCCGGAATGTAAACAATCAGCCGGTAGATCGTAAGAGGGGGCACAATTAAATCAGTAATAAGCCTACCTACCTGTACGGGACGTCTGGCGATCTCGGCACTTTCCAATATGAAGGGAGGTCTTCGGTCCTCGAAAAACAGTCAGCGTCAAACGTCAACACAACACGACACCGTCCAGATAACTCACGTGGATTAAGAAAGCGAGTTTTCCATCAAAAAATCGTTTCACAACTCACGGCGGAAAGCGCGCTAACCCAAGTCTGTCCGCACACTTTAACAGCGTATTGTCGGTGTACACATTGCTACTGGATGGGCCGTTAGGTTAGGAACAAGTTCTTTAAAGTACTGTTCACACAGCTCAACACCGATTTGTATGGGCTGTGAAGTGAAGAATGCGATGCATCGGGAATTATTAATTATTCTTATCACGGTTATTTTTTAATCGGTACATACATCTTTTCCGAACAGGTAAATGGAACTAATTTGTCAACAAAAATGGTATCATTAATAGGTAGGTACGTTTACAAATTAGAGATGAACTTATCCCTACACTTTTTTTCATAATTTTGGCAAATACTTAGGTAAGTACGCTTTTAAGTTTTAATTGTATTATGTATGCTATCTATGCTAATAATTAAATCTTAGATAAAAAGATGTAGAAAAGTATTTACCTACTTATTTCTAACGAGATCAGGTGCTCAGCCCGCAAAGTGATAAAAGTACCTAAGATATTGTAAATAATCCAGATTTAAAAACTAATTGTAAATAGGTATTCTGTTATTTGGCATACATATATACTTTATTTCCGCAAAACAAATTTAATACTCTTCTCTGCTTCTAAACATTTTTTTTAATAAATAAAGGGATTGGGTAGGTACCTACCTATTCAAATCATTTAATATAAGAAAAAGAATAGGTACCTATTATTTTAAAAATAAATTGTAAAGTATCCTTACCCAGGAAGGAAGTATACCTAAGAAATTTTGGTAATCCTAAAAAAATTACCTGCACACTTCCTGTAAATTCTATTGAACACACTAAACGTCGGATATACAATAAATTTGTTCTACCAGATTTATCTTATCTGATTCAAGTTCTAATTTTCCCAATGTGTAAGACACTTGAAAACACTAACAGATCCATTAAAATAGAGGCTATCGAGATAAAAGATGCTTATACCTTTGTAAACTATTAATAGCTGCATACACTCAAATTTATCTTTTTTAAACTTCATTTATTGCATTATTATCTAAGGGAATATTAAGTAAATGGTCTTACCACCTTTAAATGTTAATCTAAATCTAATCTTAATATCGTGACAAAATCGCAGATAAGACGCTATTTACCACACTGTTTCCCGTTTACTCTCATCATTCAAACAAAATACCTTTATTGCAACAATTTTTAACAATTTATTTGCGCGAACAGTTGTTTTCCAAAAACATAGTTTACGTATTTGTATCAAGGATGAAATTGAAAAGGACTCGTTGTTAATGGAATTAGACACGACCCTGATGACACTTTGTACAAGCGTTTTAATTAATCAGAATAATCTCGGAAATCGGAGGAATTGTTTTCCTCACTCGCAGTGGCGGAAATGTAGGGGGTAATTAAGGGGTTTTTATTTAATACAAATTATCTATTATTAATTATTATTATATAAAAATTAAGCAAAAATTAAATAAATTCAAATAAAAAAAATGGCACGTGTATTATTGGTGCTAAATTATATTCTATTCCAGGTATTAAAATATGCAGCTTTTCATTAGTTAGTTTCAACAGGCCTTAAATATAAAGGAATTGTTACCAATCTTCCTACAGGATATGAAATGGCCCCGTTTCAAAATCCGTAGTGAATGTCTTAAATGAATCTTTGTACCTAAATAGTTGCGAAACGAGCGAATTTTGAGTTACTCAATTGAAGCCGTTATAAATAATTGCATAAATAGATGATTAGATGCTACAAATTGTTCCCAGCAGCGGGTCCAGTATTTACAGGTCTTTGTCTTGGGCGTAGCTAGGATTTTTGCTTGGGGTGGGCCCAGAGGGCTGCAAGCTCTATGGAGGCCTCTAAAAAAATAGCTCATGCAAGCGCGACTTGAAAACTTAAAAAATACTCTCGTTTAATTCTAAATAATAAAAAAAGTTATACAGTCAGCGACTTATCGATATGAGGAAGATGATGGGGTGGGCCGCGCACACCCTTGCCCCCCCCTTGCTACGCCCATGGTATTTATGTGGAAACCGGAATGTATATATAACTACAAGCATAATTGTAATTTTGTGTCATTAAGTACCTACAATATTTAAGCAGAGGCTGATACAACTCAGTAATTTATCATTTTGAAAATGAAACTGAAACATCGATTCATTAGTTTTTCCGTTTTATTTTTAGCATAACGATTATACATCAATTAGGTTATTTATATTTTAACAGGCTCCGTCCTTCAAAAAAGTAGACAAGATTAGTATAAAATTAAATCGGTAATATCATTTCCATTGATTATAGTAGGTATTTATTAATTGGCGCCCCGTTTAAACAATTTTACTATTGTTGCGAAGTGAGTTACAATAAGGAAATCGGAGTTGATTTTATTAAAATTATTTTATACTTACCTTTCATATTTATTTACGTACAGGGTGTCCCAATTTATAACCCATAATAACATGTAACGAAGCTTATCCCACTTCTGATATTTTCAAGTATAAATTTCTCAAAATTGCAAATTATAAAATTTTTTTGTAATCTATTAACATGTTATTCTCATCCCCTCCCTTCACCCTTCAAAATGCTCCTTTACTAATTTCTATAAGTATCTACAAATTTTTTAAATATAAATACTAGGGTGGCCCAAAACATAAACGAATATTTTTTTTCGTTGTTTTAAGAGCCCCCTCAAAAAATCGGCCCAAAAAATTTTTTTTTTATTTTTTTTCTCGTTATATCATTTTCTAGGTTGAAAAAAATCTCGATTCTGAAAATTTCAAATCGATATTTTAATTTCTAAAGGTCACTCATAATTATTTTAACTTTAAAAGTAGTGCACCTAAAATGTTTTCAAGCGACCTCTAAAAATAAATATCAATGAAATTTAAAATTTTTTTTATTGAATTTGATGCAACAAAAGTATAGAAAGAAATCACGAGACACTTAAAAATTTTTCGAGACAAAATTTACCACCGCACTGCGAGTATCAAATATTTATAACTTTTAAAATTTTTTAAATTTACGTGTCTCGTGATTTATTTCTATTCTTTTATTCATCAAATAAAATTAAAAAAATGTATTAGTTCCTTGATATTTATTTTTAGAGGTCGCTCGAAAACATAGGAACACTACTTGAAAGTTAAAATAATTATGAGTGACCTTTAGAAATCAAAATATCGATTTGAAATTTTCAGAATTGCGATTTTTTTAACCTAGAAAATGATAAAATAACGAGAAAAAAAATTTTAAAAAATCAATTTTGGACAATAATCTGAACAAAAAATTGCGAGATTTTGACACAACACCTTGACAGTTCAGTAAAAACTGATCAACTAATAAATTAGTTTTATTAAATGAGAAAATCACTTTTAAATATCTGTACGTTGATACTGTTAACGAAAATTTAACTGCTGTCAAAAATTCGTTGAAACAATTGGATCGTTTTGTTTTCAAAGCACTCTTTGTAAGAATTTATAATTTGGCATTGTGACAGAAACAAAAAGTAAACCATGTACGACACATTATTGTGATAAGAAAAATAACCTGAACATAAAATTGTGAGATTTTAGTCTGAAACTCGTAAGAAAAATAAGAACTGCACCATCCTGGTCGGAATCTGAGCTAATATAAATACGTATTTACAAAAAACAGAAGTGTCCCAGAAATCTCTGAAATAGGCAACCAGCAATACATTTTTATAGATTTTATTACACAGTTTGTGTAAATATGAATTAATGCACAAATAACGGACTTTCCCCCATTTTATCGCAGATTTTCTATAAAATAAAGTTAGTTTGAAACTCATATTACTTTTTGTTGTAAAGAAATTTGCAATTTGAATCGGAAATTATAAATTCCTTGACACCAAAAAGTAATATGAGTTTCAAACTAACTTTATTTTATAGAAAATCTACGATAAAATGGGGGAAAGTCCGTTATTTGTGCATTAATTCATATTTAGACAAACTGTGTAATAAAATCTATGAAAATGTATTACTGGTCGTCTATTCGCTATACAGCCCTCTTAAACGAATAAAAAACAGAATTTTTGGTTTTTTTTTCCTTCAGCAAGTTTCTCGTCATCAAATATGCGCCAATTTAACCAACCCTGTATCTCTTAAAATAACCGAGATACCGGCGGTGCGACATGAAAAATCCCCGCACACGGAACAAAAAAGCATCTTTACGGTACTTTTTTGGGAAAATTTCAAGTGTACGTGCACTTACCTTTCGTAGCGAGCCACGGCCTTCTTATTTTCGTACCACACTGCAAAAACTTTATTTCCGCCAATCTTTTTCACTTCCAAAACCGATACAATGCAGGAAAAGCGCAAAAAAATTTAACCTTTCATTAATTTAGGGAGGCGGGTTCGGTAAACGCAAAAATTTTGAGGAAATAAACATCCACGGTTTATTTGTAACTCTTGGAAATATAATTTCATAAATAAAGAATATATGGGGCCGCGAGTGGCGGCCGCGTACCGTAACTTTGCACATTTACATACCTTAAGCTAAAAAAATATACACAAGTCATATATCGCGTAACTAACAGAGCTCGATCCGAGCCCAGTCCAATGTCACTAGTAACAAAAAAAAAAATAAAAGAAAGAAAAGAAATCATCACTAGTCCTACGTTAAATAAATGTGATAAAAATATCTGGTATTAAATATTAAATACTGTCAATCGTACAAAATAAATTCATATTGAGTAAGAGAATGACGGATTATTTCTTAGCGGTCGTGTCGGTGATGTGGTCGGGTTTCAGGCCGGCGGCGCACCGCTCCCACATTTTGAAGTACAGCAGCTCCAGTCCCTGGGCGTACTGCTTGCAGTCGAATAGGGGACACGTCGAACGCGCCGTCCACACCTTGTTCCTCATCGCCTTCAAGCTGCAAGAAAAGATTACGATTTCGTTACTCGCTACAAAAATAGACCGTTTAAAGTGCAATTTTATAAACAAACACAACTGCCTTCGAATATAAATAGTATCGGCGAGTAATAATAATCATATACACAATTTTCCTAAAACGTCTCCAATATAACGAAATTAAGCATTAATACGTTCTTTCGTTCTGTTAAAGTTCTACTTTTAGGGGGCCTCCTCTTATTTCCCAAAAAGATAAAAAAAAAAATAGATATCATGTGACCAGAAACAATTGAATGGCGGTAGTAGCATCTCGATATCTTCATTTGTTTTGACAGTTTTTATGAAGAACTTTTTTGTTGCCATTTTAATTATTACGTTCAAAAATTTCCCAGTTGTATTTTTTTTAATTTATAAATTTATCCACACGGGTATGCTTATTCTATGTTATTTCCAAAGACGGCTAAATCAGGTATAGTTGTTACGACATCAACTGGAAAATGTGAATCTTAAAGCACAGGACCGTCCGCATTTCTCTTCGAATTTCTTCCTATGGTAGGAATTGGGTGGTTTGGGTCATCAACTTTAATTTTAATTTAATTAAAAGTTGATGAACAGAAACATAGGATGGAAAAGTCGAATCGTGCTGGAAACAATTGGATTTTGTTTTCTTCAATGTCCAGGTTTTCAAAAAAAGCAAAAAAAAAATTAGAATTTTTTTTTTCATCAATTTAAATGTTTGGAAACAATTGGATTTTGTTTTCTTCAATGTCTGGAAGGTTTTTCAAACAAGCAAAAAAATTCGAAAATTTCAAAAAATTTTTAGAAAATTTTTCCAATTTTTGTTTTAATTTTTCGATTTTTTTTGTTCATCAATTTAAATGTTTGGAAACAATTGGAATTTGTCTTCTTCAATGTCCGGAAGGTTTTCCAAATATGCAAAAAAAATTCAAAAATTTCGAAAATTTTTCCATTTTTTTTAATTTTTCAAATTTTTTTTTTCCATCAATTTAAATGTTTGGAAACAATTGGATTTTGTTTTCTACAATGTCCAGAAGGTTTCCCAAAAAAGCAAAAATTCTAAAAATTCAAGAATTTTTCCAATTTTTTTTTATTTTTCGATTTTTGTATTCATAAATTTAAATGTTTGGAAACAATTGGATTTTGTTTTCTTCAATGTCCGGATGATTTTCCAAATAAGCAAAAAAAAATCGAAAATTTCGAAAAATTTTCTAATTTTTTTTTCATTTTTCGAAAAAAAATTTTCATCAATTTGAATGTCTGGAAACAATTGGACTTTGTTTTCTTCAATGTCCGGAAGGTTTTCCAAATAAGAAAAAAAAATAAAAAAACCGAAAATTTTTCCATTTTTTAAATTTTTCGAATTTTTTTTTTCATCAATATAAATGTTTGGAAACAATTGGATTTTGTTTTCTTCAATGTCCGGAAGGTTTTCCAAAAAAGCAAAAATAATTCAAAAACAAACATTTTTCCTTTTCATTTTTCGATTTTCTTTTTTTCATAAATTTAAATGTGGAAACAATTGGATTTTGTTTTCTTCAATGTCCGGAAGGTTTTCCAAAAAAGCAAAAATAAACAAAAATTTCAAACATTTTTCGAAATTTTTTTTTTCAATTTAAATGTTTGGAAACAATTAGATTTTGTTTTCTTCAATGTCCGGAAGGGTTTTCAAACGAGCAAAAAAAATTCGAGAATTTCAAAATTGTAGTAAATTTTTCCAATTTTTTTTTTTGATTTTTTTTGTTCAATTTAAATGTTTGGAAACAATTGGATTTTGTTTTCTTCAATGTCCGGAAGGTTTTTCAAATAAGCAAAAAAAATTCTAAAATTTCGAAAATTTTTTTCATTTTTCGAAAAAAAAATTTCATCAATTTAAATGTTTCAAAACAATTGGATTTTGATTTCTTCAATGTCCAGAAGGTTTTCCAAATAAGCAAAAAAAATTCAAATATTTTGAAAATGTTTCAATTTTTTTTTCATTTTTCGAAAAAAAAATTTTTCATCAATTTAAATGTTTCGAAACAATTGGATTTTGTTTTCATCAATGTCTGGAAGGTTTTCCAAAAAAGCAAAAAAAAATCAAAAATTTCGAACATTTTTTAGAAAAGTTTTTGAATTTTTTTTTTCTCAATAATTTAAACGTTATTTGCGGTTTCTTTTTTGCTATATCTACCCGAGCTAATATAAACACGTATTTACAAAAAACAAAAGAGCGTCTTGGAAATCTCTAAGTTTTAAGAGGCAACCAGCAATACATTTTTATAGATTTTATTACACAGTTTGTCTAAATATGAATTAATGCACAAACAACAGACTTTCCTCCATTCTAACGCCGATTTTCTATAAAATGGACTTAGTTTGAAACTCAAATTTTTTGTTGTAAAGAAATTTGTAATTTGCCGCGTAAATTACAAATTACTTTACACCAAAAAGTTATTTGAGTTTCAAATTAACTCCATTTTATAGAAGATCTGCATTGGAACGGGGGAAAGTCTGTTATTTGTGCATTAATTCATATTTAGACAAACTGTGTAATAAAACCTATCTATCTGGTGGGCTATTTGCTATCGAGCCCTCTTAGCGTTACCCAATCGAACATCCATCAAAAAAAATTTAATACTTCAAACAAATTACTTACTATTCCTTGTCCGTGCCCAACTTAATGGCGATGTCCTGATACTCCTGTCTGGACCTCGCGATCAATTCCGGACATCCCAAAGTATTCAACTGGCTGGCGGCCACCCTCGAAGCCAACGTCTCTCCTGGCAGGGTCACCACCGGCGTGCCAGTCCACAACACGTCCATGCTGGTGGTGTGCCCGTTACACAGCGGCGTATCCAGGCACACGTCGGCCAGCTGCCCCCTCCTGACGTGCTCCTCCTTGGCGGCCACGTTACTGAAGATGATCTTGCCGGGCGGCAAGCCCTGCTGCTGGGCGGCGTTCAACAAGTTCGGCTCTCCTACCGCGGGGAACCTCAACAGCCACAGAACGGCATTGGGTACCGCCTTCAGGATGTTCACCCACATGTGCAGGGTCACGGGGTCGATCTTGTACAGCTGGTTGAAGTTGCAGTAGACGACGGCGTCGTCCGGCAATCCGTACTGCTGCCTCGTCGTTATGACGATGTTCTGGGGGACCTCCTCGCCGGTAGCCGCCTTGTTGTTGGTCTGGGTGGTGGCCAGGCCGTTCTGGACCAGGACGCCGTTCAGGGAGGTCTGGACCTGGCCGGAAGCTATCATGTTCTCGATGGGCGTGGTCGTGGGTAGTTCCGCCACCTTAAGGCTGATCTCCACGGGTTTAGCTGCCTTTACCACTTCTTTGATTTCCTTAACGTCGGTGTTCTCGACCAGCGGCGAGAGATCGGTTGCGTTGATTATCGCCACGTTATCCGCCAAGTTCTGTCCGTTTCTGTCGCTCACGATGAGCCTCTCCTTCAGGTGGGGGAACATCTGCTTGTGATCGCCCACGAAGTACGTGTAGGGCATGTAAGCCAGCTTCTCGCTGTACTGGCTCGCCAGTTCGATGGGGGAAGTGACCGCGTCCGTGATCAGGTAATCCATGAAGCTGGCGCCGCTCGTGCCGGGATATCCCAGCCACATCACCTGGACGGCGGCAGGCCTCAAGGCGAAGATCTCGTTCCTGGCCCCCTTCGTGTAACCGTTCATGTTAACCAAAATGTGAATGTTATCGGAATATATCCTGTCGGCCGCCTTGCCGTTGCACGGCACGCTTGACAGGTCGATGAAGTGCTCGGCCTCCCTCGAGATTTTGCTGCGGAAAGTCGTGCCGTCGTCCTGACTCAGAGCGTAACAGAAAACCTCCACCTTAGTCCTGTCGTGGAGTCCCGGCACCGACTGCATCAAATGGGAAGTCGGGTGGTTCCCGAAATCGCTACTGACGTACCCGATCCTCAACCTGCCCTTCAGTTCCGTCGAGAACTTGTAAGGAAACTTGTGCAACACGTTTATCTTCTCCAGACACAAGTTGGCGTGACGAGCGGCGATGGCCTTGCGGAAATCGTGCGACAACGGGTACAACATGGAATGATGCGGATGGACCGAAGGCAGGCGGTTCTTATCCAGCTGATCGGCCACGATGTTCACCAGCTTCTTCATCCTGGCGTCGTAGTCCGTCCAATCGCACACGATCTGCAAGCAGTGGGCCAGGTTGCAGTAGGCGTCCGGAAAGTCCGGTTTCAGCTTCAGAGCAGTCCTGTACGACTGGATGGCCTCTGGAATGTTGCCGGAATCCTTGTGGATGCTCGCCAGGTTGCTGTGGGCGTCGGCGAACGCCGGGTTGATCTGTATGGCACGGGTGTAGCACTGGAGGGCCCCCGACACATCCTGCATCTCCTTCAGGGTGTTACCTGAGAAAAAAAATTGTCGTTTAGACAAATAGTGCCAGATGGTCCATCATAAATAAGAGTAGCATTTTACTCCCCCTCGCCCCTTATTTTTCAAGATTTAAAATATAAACAATAAAGGATGAATTAAGTGGTTTAAATTTTTTTTATGCATACATTGTAAAACCAATTGAACATCGGGTTACAAAGATACAGGCTTTTGACGTTTTTTTTTTATTTAACACCCTGTAAATTTCATATATTTTAATATGACGTCAACCCACGCTATGGGGGCTTTTACAAAATCACCACTGACGATGCCAACAGTGAAGAATGGTGAAACATGTGGAAGTATTGGACGGGACAGAGGTCTTTATAAAAAATTTCAAAGGCTCACCATTGTAGAAGGAGCGGTTCCATCTTTAGTGACTTTAGAACTAACAACAAGAGCCGAAATCAATACCAGGACAGGGTTAGAAGTTCTGTTATTTCTTTCTTATTAATAAAGGTTAACTTCAAGACGTCTTTTATCACATGACTGCGAATAAACTTGTTAAAAAAAAAAAATTGGAAAGGTAAATTTCCATTTTCAACGCTCTGAAGGATAAACAACTCAATCATAATTAGCTGCAGTGTTAATTTTTCCTTAATAAAGTGACAAATTTATTACAATGCCAAATATTTCCACAGTTACAGCATTGATCATCAATCCAGAATATGTGCGATAAGGTAATTAATATATGATAGCTACGACAGACGTTGTGCAACTGTGGCCATTAAAAATATGGTAAAACTGAGCAAGTACCATAACAAAATTTTAAGACGCTGGTCAAAATTATATAAATAGTATCATTGAATAAATCAAATAACTAAAAAATTCTCTTAATTGTATCCTTTGCAGTACATTTTACGCAAAGATCAAGCTATCACATATTGCATTGTGATAATAAAAAAATCAGATTAAAGCGAAAAAAAAAACATATATTTTGTTAAAAAAAATGACAATTGCTTTAAATATGTTTAAAAAATATACGATGTATAATCTTTCCGGTCTCAATTGAAGACCAAAGAGCTAGGCCAGGTTCGGTCGTTACGCAACAACTCAGCATTGAAATATTTGAAAAACTTATTACCATATTTATTTAGCCATACCCTTATACATGTCTGGTGGAGGTGGTAGAAATATATACGGCCAGTTGAAGAACGCGCGCGCGGGCAAACGGCGCACAAACACAGCCGCACTGGGCGACCGGCCATAAATTTCAGTTATTGACAAATGAATTGCCTAGCAGTGCAGTGCAGTAATATATTTTAATGAAAATGTAAATGTTTTTTAATATGTTATAACTAAAATTTCCCATCAATATAATAAAATTGTTTGAGGGCATTAATTAAAATATGCTGTAGGCCAAATGAACATATAATAGAAATTTTCTACATATTATATACAAATTATTACTACTTTTTACTTTTAACAGAAAATTTTTTTAAGGATGCCTATGAAACTTTAAATTTTATTGCTAGGCGTTTTTATACTCATGTTCAACTGACTTCGGAAGGACTATACCAATTTGTCGTACTTTTAGAGCCAGTAATTCAAATTTATTTCTTTGTTCGCTGAATTTTTTAAGACACAACATACGTACTATTGTGACCAATTTTGAAGAAAATTAGTTCATTGGTTTCAGTGTTACCAACATATTTTCATTAACGTTGACTTAATCACCCCGAACCTCACAAATAAAACAACAGTGAACTGGACTGTCGTATATTTGGCCCAATTCTCAAATTTTGGCCTCAAAATCGTTAGCATTTGGGCTCCTTCATTCAAATACACCCTGTACATTAATTTGCAATTTTCTCATGCACTCCTTTACGTCAATAAACACGAGACACCGATGTCGAATGTAGTAGAACAGAAACAACATAATTCATCCTACTCACCCATATTCGAGTAGGCATCGGCGAAAGTAGGCTGAATCCTGATGGCCTCCTTGTAATGCATAAGCGCCTCGTTCAATTTCCCCTGCTGCTGGAGCACCGAAGCCAGATTACTGTGAGCCGCCGCGAACTCTGGGAACACCTCCAGGGCCTTGAGGTACAACCTGGTGGCCTCCTCGATGTAGCCCTGCTCCCTCTTGATGTTGGCCAAGTTGTTGAGCGAGTCGGCATGCGAGGGACAAAGACGTAGGGCAGTGTTGTAGCACTCCTCCGCCTCGGACACCTGGCCCTTCTCCTTGAGGGCATTGGCAAGGTTGCAGTAGGCGTCGGGGAAGTTGGGCTGCAACTCGATGGCCCTCCTGTAGGTGTCGATGGCCAGATCGATGAGCCCCTGCTCGTAGTACACGCAGGCCAGGTTGCCGTGTACGACCGCATTGTTGGGGGAGAGGTTCAGAGCACGTAGGTATGCCGCTACCGCTCTGAGGGAACAGAAATTAAATCGTTATGATATCAAGAGACAGTGCTAAAAGGAAACGATGAATTAAACAAAGCGATTTGTGAAAACTGAAATATACATATTCGTGAAAATAATGACGACTACAATATAAAAAAATTTGTGTGGGCATCATTGGCAACGATTATACTGAACATTGCTTAGAAGAGCACTGTCTATTACATAGTTTCTGTAAATTTGAATATGTTGTTTTGTTTCTGTTGTCAAATGAATTATTTCTAAAATGACGTAATTATTTCAAGTTTAAATCGAAAATGCATTAGTAATGATCTAATAAAAAAAATTAATTAACTCAAAAGTAATACAAATACAAAAATTTTACAAGAGGAAAAATGTTTAACAAACAAGACCTTCTGACAAAATTATGAGCAGACTAATTCAAGGGAGAGGGTATTTTTTCAGTTCTATTAATACAATTACTTAGTTTTCTATGTCATAGAGTGACATCTATTTTTAAGTATTAGTACACCAAATTTCAATAAAACCTTATGAGGCGTTTCAACGTTAAAAAAAAATATTTCTATTTTGTCAACTTTGAGGCAAAACGAAGCGAAAATAGCTTAAGTTTGTGATATACTTCTTTAACAGGAAAATATTTTTGCAGGTATTTCTGTAAAAACAGTAATTATTAATTACTAGGTTCAAAAACTGATATAATAGACCCGCCTTAAATTTAAAAAAAAAATTTTTTATATAAAAAAATCCAAAAACTATTATTATTAAACTTTGTGATTGTTAACACTATAAGTTTTTCAGAACTGTAAGAAAATGATAAAATAGCAGCATGAATTAGATAAACACTTATACCGACTTATTATTATTTTCAACCAATAACTCTTGAAAATAAATTTACTAACAGCTTTCTTATTAGCATAGCACTTTGCTTAGATAGGCAAAATAAAATTATTAATTATTATTAGCACATTCCATCAAATTTAGTTAATTGAGAGAACATTTAGATAGCAAATAAAATTAAGTATACTCGTAGGTATAGTTTTTTTTATAGCACAGCAATTTGAAATCTAGGGGTAAAAGAACATGGCGTATCTGATAAAAGTAATTGCATTGCTGCCACACACCTATTTTTTTCAAATGAAACCGCATATTTTTAACTATTTTCTACAATTACTGTGATATATAAGATTTCATATCTCTAATAGTAAGGGAGATGTACCCAAAATAGGGTGCCAAGACGCATGCAATAAATTATACAAATATAAGGGTTTATTAAAAAAAAATAGAAGGTCGATCTTGTCCTGTTATCCCTGAATGAACTTATGAAACGAACGATTAGACCATAAAAATAAAATTTGTCACTAAAATCCGGGTCTGATGTGTCCAATAGTTAATTAACAATTAACATTATATATAAAAAAGTTATCTTGGAAACAACGAGGTGTTGGTGACTTCTTTTTTTTTTATTGCCGTAAAAATAAGCTCTATTTAATGCAAAAAGAGCGAATTCCCGAGCGGTTTTTGCCCGATCCTGAGGCAATTTGTTTATAAAGCTGTTTTACACGTTAGGGCAACTTAATTTCAACTTTTTTAAATTTTTCTTTTTCGATACGTTTCTTTGGATCAATTAGAACCTATATCTACGACATTAACTTCTAAAATTAACGTTCAGTAATTAAAACAATTAGTTTCAAAAAAACAAACGAAATTAATTAACAAACAGCTAGACCAACAAAACCTAAGTCGGTTTTATTGAAAGACACCAAAACTTTTTTCAATTAGCATATTTTAAACTAATACCAAAAATAAATTTATTACCCTGATACATTAGTATCTTCAACATACAATATTATATTGTAACCAAACATTATAACTAGTACAATATAAACAAAGTCAGTTTTTATTACAGACATAAAATATAAACTCCACAAATTAGTTTATCTCCAATTTTTAACATCTATAAAGACTACGAGCTTTAATGTTATACAGTACAGAAAAATTATGTAAATCTTTCGTATATGATATATTTTGTATCAGTTGATATTCCTTTAGAAATTGGCATGCGAAACCGCAATGAACCATTTGGAGGGAAACCAAAAGTTATTAAAACTTATGATTTGTTATTTCTGGCCTCTGCTCAAAGGCATATTTTTTATATCTACTCGTATAAAATAGAACCCGCTACATTACACTTTATAACCTTAATAAAAAAAAAATCGTTCATTTGATTCATCTATTAATCATTTGGTGATGCTCCCAATCCTTTTTCAGTTTGTCTAACAATTTTTCAAAAAACTGCAAGTATTCCAAAATAAAGTAGTGATTTTACACAATATTTTCTTCCATGCGATCAATATTGACTCAAACATCCATTCATGCGTGTCGCAATCTCTCTTAGAACAAGAATAACTGCAATTATCCCAATTGCGTCAAAAGATTCCTACATTAACGAGAAAAATGCGAAAGTCGTGCCAAGGAGCAACAGGTTACCACAGCATAGCAAAAATCTCCACCCGAGAATTGAGCGGGAGCCAAAAAACCATCCTTGAAGCAAACTCCGTCGACGCGGTTTGTAAGAAATGGAAATACATCATTCATTCAAGCCGAAAGCTGTACACAAAGAAAAAAACATGATCGTGCGATGAGAAGCAGCTTTTAACGAGAAACCAGGTTTCTTTGCTGTTGCCTTTGAATTTTATACACAACGACAAGGTTCGGCGGTTACACTAATGGGACGTCTGCAGCTTTCGTGCCGCTTCCCGTTCATTTGACATATTTGATAAAGTATTATTACACATCTAGGTCTTTAACAATAAGAACTGTTTGCTCACATCGGAAATTTCCCACTAAGCGTTAATTAGATCTAAAAATACGAATTGTCACTCAAAGTGTGTGTTGTGAAACCCGCATCTTGCTGGGTATTTACGCTTTCAGCAAAAGTGACTTGTAATTTCACAATTAATTATGAACGAAATTACCCCAAAATACGATGCGTCACTGTACCGTTTACAACATTTTGGAGAGTTTTAAATATTTCAAAGAAAACTTTATAAACAAACGACAAAAATGATGTATATCGTGTAATAAGTTTCCTGCAATAAACTAACAATTATGACTAAGGGACGATTGATATAAATCATAATAAATTGGATAAAAAACAGATATAAAACGAAAATATGACTAATAGCTCCTCTACAGTAATTACTGCCAAGCCAAGCATTACTTGATGTTAATGGCAGTGTGCAGTGGTTCTCCATCTTTTATTGCGTATCGCTCGATTTTATTGCCCTTTATACCCCACGCTCAGATGCTCAAATTTATTTCCCCCAACAACGAATTAAGCTATCTTAATTTACTTTGATGTCAAAAAACGTAAAAACAGATGAACAATTTTTTAAAATCTGAACGCTACTTCGACTGCTCAAAATTGATGAAAACCTTAATAATTTTACAAATTGCAGTAAAGAAAACACAAAAATATGCGAGTCCACTCGAAACAGAAAATCCCCAAGTATTAAAACAATCTCACTCTCACTAAATCCAAGCAGCCCATGAAATAGTTTGAGAACCACTGAACTATAGTTTAATCTTCAATTGTTTACACTGTAGATTTAAACAGATAAATCATTAAATAAATTTTTTACAGAAATAATAAAATTTAGTAGTCGATTTTTGTACTTTTTGTTACTGAAAAACACTAAATTTAATGACTATTTCACAAATTCGTGCTTCTTAGGTAGGTATTTCAATTCCTGATATTTGTGATGTTCATAAATATTTTCGACTAAATAAATAGTAAAAAAACTGTTTAATAATCAGGATGTGTTAAACTAAAGTTTATGTATCGATAAATTAAATCAAAACCCAGAACAACAAATACTTTTAATTTTGGAACAAGTTTGTGAAAGTAACAATGGCACAATTTTGACAATTTCTAACATTTTGCTTTAAAAAACGTAAAAAGAAACAAACGTTTCAAATTATAGCCGAAATATTTGGAGTATCTTTGACAAAGTAGGGCGTTTAGATAAAAAAGTTACCTAATTTCAGAACCAAAATATAAAAACAGTAAATGCAAATTTGAGTTTAGTTTATTGCATAACATTAAAAATATCAAAATAAAGAAAAATCTACCAAGAATAACGTTTTTTTAAATTCCAATCAATTCCAAAAACGTTCTCATCAAATAAAGTCCACTTTTATTTAAGATAATTCATCGTTTGTCTATGAAGATGGTTTTTAGCATTTTTTAAGAAAAATGTTGAACTTTATTGGAATTAATAGAAAAGTAATAACGATTTCCAATATTTCGCTTTCAACAAAAAATATGTAACTCTGCTCTAAAAAAGAAACTCTAAACTCAAATGATTTCACAAACCTTTCAAGTATGATAAATGGTTCTTTTAGGTTAAATATCTGAATTTAAAGTATTCTTCATTTTAATAAATAATTCAAATACAGAAACGATGAGAAACTTTTCAATAACTTGAATATATTCGAATCCGCAATACTTTTGTTGACAAACAGAATCACGCTAGAGAAGAATTTAAACTTCGATGACTCCAAAAAATATAACAAAATTATCACAGATGTATTACATTTCGACTAAGCAAATTAAAAATGTATACGAATTTATTTTACTATTATCACAATAACTCTATCTAGGCCGCTTTATCCAGATTATTCTGCTTGAATTCAGAAAACTTATTTATTACATTTATAGAGATTAGACAGGATAAAAACAGCTAAAAAAATATAAGCAAAACAATCTTTTTGACGTTGATGCTTCGAAAAAAATATTTTGTTATTAAATTGCTTTTACTTTAAACTATTTCAGCTCTAAATAATTTTCATACAAAATTGTGTTCGTGTGTAACGCTGAAGACAATAATAAAATTATTAAATTTAAGGACACAGGAACGTAAGAGATTTTTAAATTAAATATTAGACAGGTCCCACTCATGTGAATATAATGACATTAATTTGTGTTAACATTTAAGTTTGTATTTC